TCCAGTTTGCTGAACTCATCATTTTTTCATGTTGGTTAATGTCGCTAATACTGCCCTGAAAAGAATTGCCTCATTTTCACAGCCATAACATAATTTGATATCTTTATGATTTATGATATTAATACTATTCCATCAGGAAAATAGGGATAAATCAGTTTATCAGTCACTAAAGTTCAATACAGCTGAAGGTTTGCAATATGGTGATATTTTGAGTCATATAGAATAGTTATTGGAGCACTTTCTTACACTCTTTACTAACCCCATCCACACCTATCTCTGAAAATACTCCCTGTTATTCTTGCCAAAGGCAATAAAACAATAACATGTTGATAAGGATAGAAAGGGAATTGTGCAGAACATCATCATAGTCTATTGAAGCAAGCAAAATACAAGGTAGCAAATTTTGTGTGTGCTGAAGTAGGATCAAATTTGATCTGTTCATTTTGTGTGATTCCCTTTTAGCTGAATTGACCAGACTGCACTATAGTGCTGTATTTTTTTGTATCAAATTTTTTATTTAAACTTTCAAGTATAAGCATCGAGCAGTTTACAGTAGAAAGGCATTATTGAGTGCAAATATAAAACACAACCATATACAGATATGCCGTGTGATACTTCAAATGAAATATGTAATTGTGCCGTCTGTAGACTTTGTTAAAGAATGCAGTAGGGGAAGCTTGAGCACACAAAGGTGGGTGGAAACATCTAAAATTCCCATGTGGTTAAGAACAGAATAAAGCTTGTGGTAGGCCAATTTTTTAATGTTGGTGCAGCCAATCATCTTAAGTCAAGAGTTGATCAACTAGGCTCTAGCTATATTTAAAACATCACTTACTGTAGGTGTATACTAATACTTTAAAGTGTACCTGCAGTTACACTTCTTTTTTATAACTCCTTCGCCTCAACCCCACCTTAGTCTTATACCTACGTGCCATAATCCCCCAAGATCTTGGCTGTGCGACCTTCTTGGTGTCTCACTCGTCTCCTGTCCGAATGTTCTCTGTCAGGTCCACGCGTGCATGCTGCAATCTCCATTCAAGGGTGTTCATCCTAAAGAAGGATTTTACTCCATCATTGAAAATAAATGTGTTTGAATAAAATAGGAAAACTTATGAACAACATTAATCTTTATCTGCCAATCTAAGACACAATCTAAAATGTTGATTAATTTGTAGCTATGAAGTAAAGACATTTTCAGACATGTCTTGAGTGACACATCGCCTTTACTGGGCTATGATGACAAATGTTTTCTTTTAGTTTGAAGATATGATGCCTCTGTGTACTGATACATTCATAGAAATGTATATGAATCCACCCTGTCATTGCTGAGTAACTAGTTAACCTACCATAGCAACAGTGTTGTGCCTCAAAGACTTGATGAATCATTTACTTACAAAATTGTATGCTCTACTAGGAGATGTGTAATACCAATGAATTCCCCAGTTTTGCCTATATTTTACTTATATTATTAGAGTACCGTTACCTATATAAAGACTAAAGAGTATGTTTGGTGTATAGTAGGATACAGGAATGGCTAAATTAGGAATGAAGCTAAATTTAGGAAATTGAGACATGTTTTGAGAAGTATTTTACCTTTGAGAAAATGGGTGTTTGCAGTGACAACCATGGATGATGCGGCAGAAAAATGCACTCTGGTAGAGGTCTTTTCACCGATTCATTGCGAAAAAAAATTATCACGAGATATTCTGCAAATGTTTCAGGGCATTTCAGAATTCCATCCTCAAGGCAATGCAGTGACCTATCATGTAACTGTATTGCCTTGAAGAAAGAACTCATGATGCTGACCTGAGACATTGGCAGAGTATCTCACGTCATCATCCCAGCAATAATACATTATACAGCACAATGCAGAATACCACCAGCTGTAGAGAAATACGGTAAATCCCAACAATACAATATACATACAGTGTATAATGTATTGCTGGTATTTGTAGTCCTCTATAGCTGATGGTACATATACAGCACAATGTACCATCAGTTATAGAGGGATAACAACAAATCCCAGCAATAATACATTATACAGCGGCATAATGCACACAGAATACCACCAACTATAATGTATTATTGCTGAGATTTGTAGTCCTCTATAGCTGATGGTACATATACAGCGCAATATACCATCATAGTATACATCTATACAGCATGTCGGGGAGTGACGTCAGTCTTACCTGCACACTCTTCAAGCAACTTTACTTTCTTTCCCCGAGATCTTGGCACTGTCGGCAGCTGCCGTTCCCCCATGCTGCAGTCTCCCTGCAACGATGTGATCATCTTGGCGGGCCGCGTCTTAGCGGGCAGCGCCGAGAGAGAGCTCAGAGCTGGGTGAGGCGGGGAGGAGGTGTGGAGTGAAGCGTGTGGAGCCGTGAACAGGGGCAACTATCTCCCTTCCTCCCAGCTTCTCTTACCTACTCCCCTGGCCTCCTCTGCTGCTGGACTGGCTGGAAGTGACGTGATGTCACTTCCGGCCGGTCCGAGATCAGTACAGCAGCCGCGCCGATGGGGCCCCAGCTTGCTCCAATGCCGCTGGATCTGCAATGCTGGGGCCCGGCACTGCTAGGGCCCGACCGCCTCCTCTCCTGTCACCCGCAGCCGATACTCATGTAAGGGTCCCGGGCAGACCCCCAAGGCTGCCCAGGCCCCTTACATGAGTATTGGCCGTACCCCCCTCATGGCGGCCCTAATTCTCTAACAATACTACTTTTGACATGCTTGATTCTGAGTCAGGTGGTGATGTTTTCAATATAGAGGTGGAAAAGATGTAGGGAGGAAAAAGTCATAGGAATGGATGGGTTTATTAAATAAAGTTAAACATCACAACATAGTATAAAAAGGTAAAATTATGTGGAGTCAGGCCTGCTTTTAAAGCGTCTATCTCTGGCACCAGTAGTGCTATTGCCATAGGAGAAATAGGATTTGGAAGTACAGTCATGGCATTGAGTGGAGCACTATGAGCTGGCATTTTTTTCTTCCAGATGGGCAAATGAGGTAAAAAACTTTCCACCAATTTGAGAATTTTATATGATGTTGACTCCAATACTTTGAAGGTTGGGAGGTCCTCTAGCTTTTTTGTGGCATTTATGCGTGACCAATCTCGAATTAGATGTTTAGAAGATAGCTCCCATTTCTAGTAGAAGCTATTTAACATTACACTTTTGGTTGCTTTTGCATGTGACTACTCAACTCTGTCGGGATCTCCCAAAATCTCAAACCAGGCAATACTCCCCAAGCTGACTGCCTCCAATTTGCCAAGCCCAGTTTCTTCTATATCAATTATATAGTTGTGCTCTTAGCCCTTGTATTTACATTAGGTGGGTGAGTTCAGCTATTCATTAATTGTTGGGTTAGAATTAGTCTTACAGCATAATGTTGCCATAGCAACTAGGAGGAAGAATTGGAATAGTTGCTGAAACTATTCATGGTATGATCAATAAAAGTGTGAAATTAGGGACATCTATACTATAATGCCTATCACCTGGTTATATGTGTTAAAGATTAGTTTCCAGAATGTTACCAAAGGTGGACAATTACACCATACATGCAGAATTGTGCCTGCTCCTTCCTTATATCTACAGCAACGTCTGGAGACTGATGGATGTATGTTGTATGGGGGCATTTGTATTGCCATAATAATATCTTATAATTCCTCCCCTGGATCAAACTGGCAACATTAGTTTTGTATCTCAATATATTTGAAGAAGCTCTTCCATTATGCTACATAGTAGGGTAGATAGGTGGGTTTCTCCTTTGGATGGCTTTAAAGAAGTAAGGTTTCTGAGAATTGTGCTCGTCAAATATGCTCATAAAATCCTGTTAATGAATAAGTAATATAGCAAGCACTCTGAAAAGGGTCTAAGTAAGCTGTGAGATGCTCTAAATGCTTATTTCAGGTTTTTACACTCTTCTGTTAATGAAGGGTCTCTAGATGAGCAGGACTTCAATTACATTCTAACATATAAATATGATTTCTTTCAGTCACAATGGACTATATATGACTCCCTTTACACCTGAGCATTTGTAGCTAGAAGCTCAAAGCTCCAAAACGCTTAACAACCAAAATCCCACACTTTTTAAATTGTAAATTATGAGCGTTCAGGCAACTATAGCTCGACGCCTGAAACTCAAAAAGGTACCTGAGCTACTTTTGAAGCAAAACGTTGTATTTTTGGTCCCACAAAGTTCAATGGAAGCATCTGAAAAGTTCCTTTTTCAAGACCAAACCTGCCATCTCCTTTCCTAGTACCTGGCTTTCCATTGGCTAAAACAAAAATGATCAAGCCTGAATATACTTAAATAAAAAAGTGCAAAAATGCAGAAGTAAAAATGCTTTAAAATCACCTGTAAATGCTCACACACAGGTGTGAATGCAGCCTACATGTACACTCGGCTTATTAAAATGGGAATAAATGTACATTGTGTGACCTTGTTTACTCTGTAAACAAATGAGTTTAATTTACTGTGTACAAATCAGGAAATATCACAGACAAATTCATTACCATATTTTGGATACAATGCATGCTTAAATCAAGCAATGGATCTGTACTTCTGGGATTTGTGGGGGGGGGGGGG